AAAAAAAATATATAATTAATTAAAAAAAAAAAAACCACCAAAAAAACAAATTTTCAAATTATTATTATTATTATTATTATTATACATATACAAACTAGGTACAGACTCCAGGAAAGCCCGGAGCATCCGCCGGGAGATGGGCCGGCAAACGGGGTGGGTTCGTGGCCCTCCGTGCCCGGGGAGGGATGCAGGGATGGATGGAGGGATGGATGGATGGATGGATGGATGGATGGATGGATGGATGGATGGAGAAAAAGCTGCTGGAAGATGAGAGCGGAGCTGAAGATCCACCTGCTTAACCTCCAAATGGGGTTTCTCCTTTTTTCCTTTTCGAGGTTTTTTTTTTTTTTTGGCTCTACCTTGCTGCGTTTGCTCCGGGATTTGCTTACGGTATGGGGCGAGGAGAGGGGGTGGTGGGGGTGGTGGGGATGGGGGGGGTTAAATAGCACCTTTAGAAAATTCACGAGTTGAGCTGAGCAGCAAAGAAAGCGGCAGGGACACACACCACCACCACCACCCCCCAAAATAGAGGAAAATTAAAAGAAATCAAGCCGAGTCGCGTTTTTTGGAGGCTGTAGCACCAGGCGGTCCCGGGCTCGGGTGTTGCGGGACCAAAATAAAAGATAATAGTATAAAAAAAACCACCCCAGGTTCAAAATCCTGTGGGTAAGAAACCTCAGCGACTCCTGAGGGACCATAAACGGAGGAAAATAAAAAGAAAAGAACAACAGAGCAACAAAACGGAGAGGGAGGAGGGGGAACGTTAAGAGAAACATTAGCACCTTTGCTCTGAACCTGGCAGGAAAGTCCCGGCGTGACTGCAAAAAAAAAAAAACAAACCCCAAACGAACCTAAAACTACTTGAAAACGAAAGAAAAATAACCCTAAAATTAAAAAAAAAAAAAAATAGAAAAAAAAAACCCCAAACCCCAAAGCACAGCGGTGAGGTAGCCTTCCGGAAAAGGAGAGTCCTTCCGGAAAAGGAGAGTGCGCAGCGAAGGATGGGGTCTGCTCGGCGGCGGGGGCAGCGGCTGCTCCCCTGATGTGCTTGGGAATGAATTGATTTTGCTGCCTGAATAAAAATTAAAATAAGAAAAAAGAAAAAAACAAACAAAAACCAAACAAAACAATGCAAAAACAAGGAGGGGAAGGGAAGGGGAGAGAAAGGGAAAACACCACCACCAAAAAAAGCGAATGATAACCGAGAGTTAAACATCTTCCTTGCGGCTAAAAAAAAAAAAAAAAAAATATTAATATCCTAATGAGATGCGAGAAGCAGAGGGGGCAGCGGGGAAAGGGCGGCTGAAAGGGGGGATTTGGCGGGTCCCGGGGCTCCGGGTTGAGGGGG